TTCCGTCCATGATTCCTAGCTCATAACTCCCAATACCCTTGTTACAGTCTTTTTTTTTAATCATGTTGAGGCACTTTAGGCCTCAGAGACAGGCCTCAGAAAAAGAATCTCTCTCTCAATCTCTCTGACCTTCTCTTGCCCTCCCTTTACTTGCCCAAGTCAGGACTATAATCTTCCCTGACCTTTCTGATTGTGGATCATGAGACTCTCATTTCTGAAGGGATTCTGCCTCATACCCTGGAGGAAGGAAAGCTGCACACAGAGGCCAAGAAGAATCTGGACAGGCCTTGCTGGGTTTCTCGACTCAGTCTACCAGTATTAGATCATACCCTTTTTGTCCAGTCACATTAATACAGAATTGTCAGTCAGGCCTATCCAATGAAGACTCCATAAAAGGCCTAAGAGAACAGAATTTAGAGAGTTTCTGGATAGCTGAACTCATGGAGGCTCCTGGGAGAGGACGTGCCTGAGGAGGGCATGGAAGCTCTGCTCCCTTTTCCCCATACTTAGGGCTATTCATCTCTTCATCAGCATCCTTTGGAATATCCTCTATAATAAACCAGTAAACCTAAGTGTTTCCCTGAGTTCTGCAAGCCACTCTAGCAAGTTCTGGAACCCAAAGAGAAGGTCGTGGGACCCCCAACTTCAAGCTGGTCGTTCAGAAGTTCCAGAGGTCTGGACTTGCAACTGGTGGGAAGGGCAGGCCAGTTTTGGGGACTGAGTCTGCAACCCGTGGGATCTGATGCTATCACCAGGTAGATAGTATAAGAATTGCAATGGAGGACACCGAGCTGGTGTCTGCTGCAAAACTGATTGTTTGCTTGGTGTGTGTGGGAACACCTCCATACATTTGGTCACGTAAGTGTTCTGTGTTGATTGCTGTTGAATGGGAAAACAAAAAAAGCAGTTTGTGTTTTTCTACTGACAATGGGCTATTGTATATATTCACCCTATTTCCCTAATTTAGGGTGTAAATTAGTCCAAAGTACTGATTATGTCTTATTTCCACCATGAAAATATCCCCAGGCTCTTCATGTTGTTTACTTTGTTCCTAACCAAGAAAAATTCTCACCTTGGATGTGATAGAAGTCTGGATCCCACCCCTTTTGATGACTATTTTTAGACAAAGCTTTCTAGAGCTACCAGTATCTATTTTCCTTGAGTTTCATTATTGGAATTGCAGAATACAAAATTTAAAAGCACTTTCTAAGGATCTACTAAATAGTGAACTCTGAGTTTGAAAATGCACTTTACCTCTCTTTAGCCTACTTTTATATTTAGTAAAATAAAGGGAGATTGAAGAGGCAGAACTAGGTCCCTCCTGACTCTATGGGTCAGTACAACAGAGGCCTGCAAACAGACAACTGGTGTACGTATTCTTTCCCCTTGTCAGGTGCTGTCTTTACTTCCTTCTATTCAGCATATATTCCAAGGTCTACCACTTCAGCCACTTGCTTGCCATAACTTCTTCTTCTTTTTTTTTTTTTTTTTTTCCAGACAGAGTCTTGCTCTGTCACCCAGGCTGGAGTGCAGTGGCGCCATCTTGGCTCACTGCAACCTCCACCTCCCGGATTCAAGCAGTTCTCCTCCCTCTGCCTCCCAAGTAGCTGCGATTACAGGTGCCTGCCACCACACCCAGCTAATTTTTGTATTTTTAGTAGAGATGGGGTTTCACCATGTTGGCCAGGCTGGTCTCAAACTCCTGACCTCATGATCCGCCCACCTCAGCCTCCTAAAGTGCTGGGATTACAGGCATGAGCCACTGCGCCCGGCTCCATAACTTCTTAACTGTGTCTTACTACACTTCTATAACACCCACATGGCAAAACCCCAACCCTAGGTCAATACAACTGCCTACCTTGTGTAATCCCAGCCTTAGGCTGCTGCTGGAAAGTGGGTAGAGAATCACACAACTGAGCAGACTGGTGTGACCTGAAATTGAATGTCCTCAACCTCACATGACCTGAAATCGAATGTCCTCAACCTCACGTGACCCGCTGTACAACAATCCTTGTTTCCCTAATTCTCTCTCCCAGCCTTCAGAGGAGCTACTTCAAAGCTTTTACTTGTAAATAACCATATAATTGCTCCTTCTCCTTTTTCAAGGCTTAACTCAAATGTCACCTGCTTAGTGCAGATTTTCCAGACTAAAATTTTTAAACTGCATCCCCTTCCTCTTTATTTTCTGCTACCTAATAAGCTATAAATTGTACTTACTATTTTGAGTATTATCCTTTTCTGCAACTATGATGTAAGTGCCATAAGGGCAAGGAGTTTTGCATGCTTTGTTTACGGCTGTATCCCCATGCCTCCAACAGTACCTGGCACACAGACAGTGAGGAATGAGTTTCCTCTTTCCCAGGAGCAACGTTCTACTCCCGGGCCATTTTAAACCTCTCTCTATAGGCATCTTCCCATGAGATTTGAACACACAAACGTCTTCACTGTTTTAAAAGCTTTCTCTTAATCCCCAACTTCTCCTGTAGCTACCACTACCTTTCTCTCCTCCCCTGGATTGCCAAATTCCTGCGAGAGTTGTCTGTATTTGCTGTTTTCACTCCTTCCTTTCCCAAGTTCTTCTCAATCAACTGCTATCTGCCTTTTGCTTTACCACTTCATAAAATTGCTCTCCTCAAGGTCAATGAACATCACTTTGGGGACACAACCAGTCCTGATCTGACTTGGCCTCTCTGCAAGGACATACAAGGGTCACCTAACCCAGATTTGAGGATGAAGGCAGGCTGATATTGCTGCTGACATTGCTGATAATTCCTTTCTTTTTGACATACTCCCTTCTCTTGGCCTTCTCAGCGTTCCTTCTATTTCTCTGTTCCTTCTCTCTTCCCTTTTCAGGTCCTCTTCCTCTGCCTGTCCCTTATGATGTTAGTGTTCTTCAGAGTTCTGTGTAGGCCTCCCCTTCACTTTTTAACCTCCTGGGTGACCTCATCACTTCCCTTCTTTTTCAGTTTCCATCTATAAACTGACAGTTCCTGTAATCTGGGTTAGAGATACAGATCCCTCTACAGAGCGCCAGACTATCCAACCATTTAAAAGACATCTCTAGTTAGATGGCTCAAACTCACCTCAAACTCCATGACTCCATAGCTGAACTCATCGTTTTGCTACTCCCCACCACTCCCCTGGCTATCTTTTCTCCTCCTGTGTTCCTGATCTTAATGAAATGGTAGTACCACTACCAGTTTACCCTAGCCAGAAACCCAGAAATCATCTTTTACTTCCCCCCCTTTCTTTTCCTTATTCTCTTATATCTAAATCAAAGTTTCTAAACCTTGGCACTTCTGACATTTTGAGGACTGGATAAGTCTGTTTTATGTGCGTGTGTTGATGGCGGGGGGCGGGTGGGTGGCTGTGCTATCCTGTGCACTGTACCAAGTTAATAGCAACCCTGGCTTTTACCCATTATTTAGGTCCCAGAGGCAACCCCCAGAAGTGCCAGAAGTTGTTACAATCAAAAGTATCTCAAGACATTGGAAAACATCCCCTGGGAGGGCAAAATTGCCCCCAGTTGAGAATCACTGACCTGTATCCATCAAGTCCTGCCTGTTTTACCTCCTGAATACTGTATCTCTTAAATTGATATACTTTTCATAATCTCCTCTACCACATTCTCATTTCAGGCCATCATCAGGGTAGATTACTCTAATAGCTTTCTAACAGGTCTCCACACCTCCGGACTGGTCTCCTCCAAATCAGTCTCCACAATGATCCCAGAATGACCTTTCAAAGATCAAACTCCTTCCTATAACTCCGCAACATCTTCCTCCTAGCCCACCATTAAACATTGCGAAGCTTCACTTTGCTCTAAAGACAAAATTCCTTCACATGAATTCCAACACACTTAATAATCTGGCCCCTTGTTTACCTCTCCAGCCTCGTCTTTCATCCTCTCAGACTCTACGCACTAGACAATTTCTGTTCGCTTTTCTATCACACAAACTGAACCTCTCGGGGGGTCTCTCTACCTGGGACATTATTCTCTCCATTTCCTCATGTGATCAACTCCTACTTATTTCTTCAAGTCTCATTTCCTCTGGAAAGTCTCCCCTAATTCTTCAGATCTGGTTAGATGCTCCTCCCATAAGCTTACAAAATACTGTAAAATCACCTGACCACAGCACGAGGCATCCTAATTGGCTACCTCCTCTGTATACACTCCGCCCTTTAGACTGTAAAATCTAGACACAGACTGTCCCTTATCTTGCTCAACAACCTCCAAAACAAGGTGCTTAGAAGGAATTCTATTTATTTTTTAAAAATAAAGGAATGTTGACTACAAAAGACACAATCTTGGAGTTAATTCTCTCAAAAAGTTGTTTCTATATGGGCAAGTAAAACCAACAGAATAAAGTGTGTACCAGATTATCCATTTAAAAACATCTGGGCAAAGTCTTCATGCTCTGAAAATGTCCACGCATCCCAACTGACAGTGGAATTCTGAGGCAATTCAGTAACAGTTTGACCTAAGACCCACTGCCTCCAGCCTATTTTCTGCCAATCTAACAAATAGCTTTTCACAATTATCATTACCTATTTTCTACTAGTTTTCTCATGAGTATCGGTATTAGAGTGTGCAGGATTTAAAATCAGTATCTTGAAGGTGGGGGAGAATCCTTGTAATAAAAGCAGAGGCCACAAAATGTTATTTGTACCAATTACCTGGGTACCTGCAAACACAGGCCAAAGCATTCGGCCCTGTCATTCACTCTTTGCCCCTCGGAACAGTAAAGATACCGCTGGAGCCAGTGCCTGTCCGTCTCCTAGGTGTGCGTCTGTCGTCAGCACCTGGACCCGGCAGAAAGGCCCGTAGTGGGCGTATCCCCAGCTCCCCCGAGCCCCATCCATACAGAGCAGCCGTGCCTCGGCGAGCTTAGCAGCGATCGGGATCCTCTGCACCCGGTCCACACCGGCTAGGCCTCCCTGCCAGAGCTCCAAGGGGCGGCGAGGTCCTCACCCACCCCCGGCCGCGCCTCGCCGCCCACCTCGCAGTACAGGAGTTCAGTGCCCGGGTCCTGCTGCCCCGCGATCCGGCAGAAGACGCAGGTGCTGTCGTAATCCTTGGGCTCCGGTGACTTGGCAGCGGCTTCAGGGGTCTCCACTGAGGAAACCGTAGATTCTGCAGTCGCCGAGGCCTTAGAGTCAGGGGCCAGGCCGGCGCTGCGGTTCACCTGTTCCTCCGCCATCGCACCCGCCCCTCGCGGCCTAGAGTCTTGGCCTCTCCAGGGCTACCGGGCCGCACAGGCTCCGCGTCCGGCACCTCCTCCGTTTTACCTCGAGGCGTCCCCCTTCGCCTGACGCTGGGCGGTGATCCAGGCTGAGGGGAGGGGGAAGGAGAAGCGGTGGGGAACTTCAAAGCCTGAGGCCGACTTCAAAACCAGCTGCCACTAGAGGGCGAGCGATGGCGCTGCCGAGAGTCGTCCTGACCCCTGCGCCTCGTTGGTAAGGACGCACGACGTCTGCCAAGACGCAGAGCGAGCGGCGGGTCGTGGTGACATCACCGAGGCGCGGGAGCGTCTGTCATAAGGGAGGATGTTGGGTCTTCTGGACAGGCTCTCTTCAAAGCCCATAGTATATAGCGTGTCCAAATATTGTATTACGCTGCCGTTTTTTTTTAAAAAAAAAGTTTTTTAAAGTTTGATTTTTAAAATTTGTAGGTTTTTAAAGAATGAGCAAAATTCCTAAAGCCTTGTTTTCAACAAACATCATGTTTGCTGCATTTTCAGCCACGATAATTTGTAGTTTAAGCTCAAAATGTCCAAAACTAACCTTTACATCTCTGTTGACTTTTTATTGTTGTTAACAGAACAGCTAGATCAAAATAGCGACCTTTTTTTTAATCTCACATTCCTCATGTACAAGTAAATGTGGAGTCCTATAGTTAATAGTCTGAAATATCCCAGAAATTCAATGCCAGTGCCTCATAATGCTTCACCTAGACCAACGCGATCACCTTCCAACTTATTTCTTGATTTTCCTGTCACTCAGACAAAACCTTCAGTAACTATGTACTCAAAGAAAAAATACTAGTTCCTTAGCTTGGTGTTCAAGGTGGACTCTGATTTGACCTCAGCTTTTCGTTTTGTGATAATTCGCACTTGCTGAGCATCTAAAACATGCCATATATTTCTCTAATTGTCAAACAACTCAAGGTTGGTTTTATAACCACCGCTCTAGAGATGAAGGAACAAACTCAGTTGCCCAGTCCCACACAGCTAATTAATAGTGACAGAGTTTAAGATCAAGATTTGTCTATCTCTAAAACCCACCAACCTTTTTGACATACAGCACTCCTTTTTTAACACTAAAACATTTGTTGGACTAGCTCACTATATAGTTATACCCTTGGTATTTGCTGATTGAGAAAATACATAACAAACCAATTGGGAATTCAGTAATGATTTTTAATGGATTTGTATTGTAATAAAAATTGGTTACATGTGTTTTGAATTGTTATATATATACATTCAAGACATTTTTCATTCCCTTTTGTAGTTGGCCAGTAGTTTGAGGAACCACTACAATAGCTTCACTGCCCCTCAGCAGCCCAAGGCAGAGTTCAGAATCAATACATTAGACCTATGCCAAATTTTGGTATTCACAGTTTCCATGCCTGTATTGCACCCTCACATCACTCTGCTTTGATTCACACAGTTCCCTCCTAAATATTCTTGTTTCCATCTCTTCACTCCAAATTCTACCTGCCAAACCACCCCTCTAATGCTACCTCGTTCATGAAATTTTCTTTAGCCAAACTGAAATAACCACATCCTCTTGCAAATTCATTTAACAGGTTTTCAATATTTCTCTTGTAGGATTTGTCTCTTTGTATCTTATAGCTATTTATGTACATATTTATCCTGTTAGAAATTATGTTTCTTGACAACAAGATTGGGTGTGTGACTATTCCATAATGCCTAGTACAGTTGGAACAGGAATTAAAAGAAAGTAAAGAATGTGTAAGCAAAAACTCAGTTGTATGTAAGAAAACCCAATTCCCCCTGAGGAAGAAAAAGAGGTGGAGTCCTTTAAAAATTAACTGCCTGTTTTTCTGTCTGTGGCTACTGAGCCTTATCTCTCCTTTTCCCAGGCATTGTGAAGACCCTGTTTCTCTGGCTGTACAGCTGCAAGGTCACTAGACAGATAAACTCAAGTCATAAAACATGTTCTTCCTTGAAAAGTAAAAAATGATGTAATGCATGTCTCAATTAAATAACTGTCTTTGTTTCTTGCTTCTGTAATATGCTTCCCCCTGCATAGGTCTCCCCCCCTCCCCAGGAAATGCTTAAAAGGTAACCTGACCCTTTGTTCAGCTCTCAGTCTTTTTGGATGTTAATCTGACTGGGCCGGTGCACCTAAATAAGAAGTCCTCCTCAACCCCTTGGTCTCTCTGGTTCCTGAATTATCCCGCAACACAGTGCTTTGCATGTCGGTAGACATTTAACAATTTTCTAATGAAGAATGGTTAGGAGCAAGGTCACTGCATGAGAGTGTTCAGGTTTCGCAGTGTGCAAGGGTACCACAGATAAGAGTGTGCTGATTCATATCATACACATATATTAACTTATGGAAAAGCACAGACAGAACTGGAGATTCCAGGCTAAGTTCTGGAGCAGTGGAGAGCTGATTTGTATATAAACCCCCATTGGGTGCATATGGCCACACACATACACTTACGAGATCATTCACCTACATACTAGCACACGCACCTTCATAAGTTGCATCTGTTCTGACTGCACTCCTAGAGACACCTGAGATTGCTTCTCTCACTTACCTGGGACTTTCCAAGGCTTGCATCTCATTCCTCAACTTTGAACTTGATATCATTTCCCACCATGGAAGTGAGGGGAGCAACATGAAGTACTTGAAAATTGTGTAGACAATGTGTCCTGTGTGGAATCAGGCAAAAATACAGGCACTTGTATGTACACAGGCAAGACTACTGCCAGTGGATGTTCTGGATAACCCTCCTGGGGAACAGCCATTCCGGTTCCATAACAATGTACTAACTTAAAATCTGCTTGTGAAATCAAGTGCTGTTTGCTAATTTCACAGGGGTACCATATGGGCTAGCAGGAGCCCTGCTTCAGAGCAGACTCTGGAGTCAGACTACTCTACAACTTACCATCTGTGAAAACTTGGGCTATGTTATTTTTCTTTCTCTGCTGAGACACAAATTATTTCTCTTCCTGTACTGAAGTTTTCTGTTCATTCATCTATAAAATGGAGATAATAATGATTTCTAATGCATGAACGTGTTGCATGTAGAATTGTCACAGATCCTTCAGGTGGCGCTTCACCAGCTGGAAACCTCTGTGGCCAGCAGCCTCTCTGCTTGAGTTCTGCTCATGCCCATTGGGCTTGTTCCACCCACTCGGACCAGCAGGCTGCGCTCGGCTCATACAGCCGGCCCAGATCCCACACTTGCCAAAGGCAAGCCAGGTGCAGAGCAGCAAGGGGTGTGTGAGGGAGCGCGCAGTTTGGCCCCTACATACAGCCAGGCACGCTGGCTGCTGTGGTGGGGCAGGCACCTGCACAGGTGCTGGCTCTGTATGAGGCAGCGTCTGGACCAGACATATCGCAAGCAGCTTCTGCTGCGGGCACCAGCATCTGGACGAGGGAAATGTGGTGATGCTGGAAAGCTCAGAGACGCCAGGAACCACAGAGCCCCAAAGAAGGTGTTACAGTATGTCACAGCCCTGGTTCAGGGAGCTCCAAGGTCTGGGCTGCAAGAAGGGCCACAGCTCTTCTCTCCTTCAAATGTACTGCAGCGCAGCAAGTGGGGGTTCATGTTCAAGGGTGGGGAGTGTGTTTCAGCTAATTTGTGTAAAAGCCATGGGTTTCACCTGGAGCTGGAATCCCAGGCCCAGCTGGCTTGTCACTGGCTTGAAGTTGAGGTTTCACCCGGGACCTGCCCCTTCCCACCTGGGAACCTGTCTGCCTCCTGCCACCATGAGAATGACACATCAAATTACTTGTTTGAAAGTAATTTAGGATATGGATATAAATCTTATTGTTATCAGTAACAAACTCTAAGAGCCAACTTTGAACATTGCCCTGCTCTGGCCCACGACTCCTGGGCTGGCCCTGCCCCTCCACTGTTTCTTGTTGCGTGGGGTGGCCACCTGGCACCAGCGGAGGGCAGGATGGCTATAGTGTTACAGCTCTGGCACAGGGACGCCCAAGGTCTGGGCCCCCAGAAGGGTTGCTACGTGTCACTCCTGCAGCCAGTACCATGCCACTGCCTGCAGCTCAGCAAGCTGGCCAGGAAAGTGTTATAGCCCCATTAGCTCCCACCCGTAGCTCAATGAACTGGCCAGGAAAGTGTTACAGCTCCTTTTGCTCCTGCCATTTGGTGGGTCACAAGTTCTTGTCCCATATCCGGGAAAAATGAGGTTAGATGGACAATGGGAGGGTGAGCAAGGTGGAGAAGAGCTTTATTGGGCAACTGAACAGCTCTCAGCAGAGAGATCTGTAGTGGGTAGCCCTCACTCCAGGCCATGAATTTCACCTGGAGCTGGAATCCCAGGCCCAGCTGGCTTGTCACTGGCTTGAAGTTGAGGTTTCACCCGGGACCTGCTCCTTCCCACCTAGGAGCCTGTCTGCTTCCTGCCACCATGAGAATGACACATCAAGTAATTTAGGATGTGGATATAAATCTTATTGTTATCAGTGACAAACTCTAAGAGCCAACTTTGAACATTGCTTTTCCCATCACTCATGGATCTATTTTTCTGCTCCTCTTTGCAACAAAACTCCTCAAAAAAGGTATCTATTTGCTTCTCAATCTGTCTTCTTTTCTCTCTCACACTGCCTCCTATCAGACTTTTAGTGCCACCACTTGGTCCAAACTACGGTTATCATCAGTGACTATATTACTAAATCTAATGGTCACTTCTCAGTCCTCATCTTTTTAGCAACAGTTGGTCATTCCCTCTCCCTTGACAAACTTTTCCCCTCTTGGTTTCCTGGACACTACACTTTTTTTGTTTGCTTTCCTCCTACTTCACTGGCGGTTTCTTCTCAGATTCCTGTGCTACTTCTTCTTCTTCCAAACCTCTCTCATCATTTAAGGGTTTTGGTCCTACGTTCTCTTCTCTTTAGCTACACTCACTTTTTTGGTTGTCTTATACAGTCCATGGCTTTAAATACCATATATTTGCAAATAACTCCCAAATTTAAATCTCTAATATAGACCTCTCCCCTGAACTTCAGACTCAAATATCCAACTGCCTACTCAACCACCCCATACCCATGTTTAATAAATGTTATAAATTGGCCTGAATGAGCTACTATGGGGAGAGCTCCTCTTTCACCCCACCAAAACCTGCTACCATATCAGCTGAGGGAAACTCCATTCCTCCAACTTCTCAGGACAAAAACATTGAAATCATAACTGACACTTCTCTTTAGCTACTCTTAGCCAATCCATAAAGAAATTCTGTA